GGTTGTATCTGCAGGGTGACATCGGGCTGTCACCTTAACTCTGCCCACAATGTTGTCACCTAAACTCTGCCTGCAGAACTGTCACCGTAACTCTGCCCATGGTGCTGTCACTGTAACTGCCCACAACACTGTCCCCTTAACTCTGCTCACAAAGTCATCACCTTAACTCTGCCCACAGCACCATCACCTTAATTCCGCCCACAACATTGTCCCCTTAACTCTGCCCACAGCACCATCACCTTAACTCTGACCACAACATTGTCCCCTTAACTCTGCCCACAACACTGTCACGTTGACTCTACCCACAGTGCCATCACCTTTACTCTGCCCATAGCACTATCGCCTTAACTCTGCCCACAAGGGCAGCAGCAGCCTTGGGAGCACCCAAAGGCCCCCAGTACTCACTTGGCCGCAGGTGCAGGGTGAGGAGGAGCACGTTGAGGACTACCGAGACACTCAGGGCCACAGTGGTGGCCAGCACCTGCCTGGACCCAGAGCAGCTGGGTGGGAGAGCCCGGATCCCCCGTCTGGAAGTGCTGCGGTGTCGGGCCACGCTGGAGCCGCAGCTCTTGGCCAGGGCGGGTGGCTCGGGGACTTGGGGGAGGCTTGGTGCGGCACCCGGAGGGTCCAAGGGTTCGTAGGGGTTCTCCTCGGCTGGGCACAGGGTGCTGCATGCTGGGGAGGGGGCAATGGGGAGGGTAGGCATAGGGGGGGTCCCCCCATTTGGTCCACCCTGGGGATTCCCTTGGGGACTGGGGATGGAAATGAGGGATCCACCCTAGGGACACCCTTGGGGACCGAGGACAGAGAGTAGGGATCCTACTTTGATGCCACCATCCACCCTGGGGACACCCCTTGGGAATGAAGATGAGGGATCCTCCCATGGTGCCACCATCCACCCTAGGGACACCCTTGGGGACCAGGGATAGAGATGGGGGAATCCCCCCTTGGTGCCACCATCCACCCTGGGGACACCCCTTAGGGATGAAGATGGGGGATCCTCCCTTGGTGCCACCATCCACCTTGGGGACACCCTTTGAACACTGGGGACACAGATGACCCCCAGCACAATCTTGGGGACCTGTGTTGGGGAATGTGGCACCCACCACAGCCACCCCTGCCCCAGCCACCACCTCCAGGTGCCCTGTACCTTCCTGGGTGCTGGGTGCTGGCACCCACGGTGATCCCTGCCCGTGCGGGCCCGTCGCCACGTTGCCGTACATCGTCCCCACAACCACCCGCCGCCTGTCCCCGCTGATAAGGGAGGGGGACAGGGACAGAGGGGTTGGCCCGGATGGGATGGTCCCTGCATGGGGCCCCTCAGCACCCTGTGGCCCCTCCCCACTCCCGGCCACAGTGCCTGGTGGATGCAGGGCCTGCGGGTGCACCCATAGCAGTGGTTGATGGCTGCGTGTGCCCAGAGTGCACCCATGGCAGTGCCTGGTGGGTGCAGGGTCCACGGGTGCTCCCCCAAGACAGTACCCAGCATGTGCCCAGGTCCAAGGTGCACCCATAGCCATGCTGCTGTTTAGGGTGCACCCATCACAACAGCTGATAGGTGCAGGGCCCATGGGTGCACCCAGGGCAGTGCCCAGAGCGTGCTTGGCCAGCACCCATCTCTGGGTGCACCCGTGCCTGTCGTTGGCACACTGGAGCAGGGGGAGCCTGGAGTGGGGCAGTGGGAAGCCTCCGGTGCATGTCCGGCCCCAGGGTCGCCCCGGGTGCACAGGAAGAGCTGGGTGCTATCAGCACCCACCAGCCCTGGCCACAGAGTCGGGTGCCGGAAACCACTGGGGTGGCTGAGTCCTGACTTAGTGCACTGGCGCCTGCCCAAACCTTCACCCCGTGAGTGCTGTGGTGGTTCCCAAACACGTGCATTATCCCTGTTCCCATGAACAGCCCTGTCCCCCCCCAAAGCCATTGTCACACGTCCCCAGAGTGTCCCCATCCATGTCCCTCTCCCTGTCCTGGTGCCCAGGCCTGTCCCCTGGGTGTCCCCTCAGACATCTCCATCTCTGTCATGTCCTTGCCGCTCTGTCCCTCACCCATGTCCCCACCCCCAAGGTGTCCCTGCTCCCACACATGCTTATCCGCAGGGTGTCCCCATTTGTGTCCCTAGCCTCATAGATGTCCCTGTCCCCACTCCCCGAGTGTCCCCATGCCCATCCCTGTCCCCATACCCAACCTCATCCCCCACGTCTCCATATATGTCCCTGTCCCCCTGTGTCCCCATTGCCAGGATGTACCCAGCCATGGACCTGTCCCCATCGCCAAGATGCCCACACCCATGATCCTGTCCCCATATCTGTCCCTGTCCCTACATACGCCTCCATTGCCAGGATGTCCCCACGCATGATCCTGTCCCCATGCCTGTCCCCTGGGGTCCCCACAGCTGTCCCTGTCCACACGTGGGGGGAGGGGAATGGGTGAGGGACCTCCGAGCAGGCCAGTCCCAGAGATGCCACTGTCCCACTGTCCCCAAGGTGTCCCCAGTACCAGGCACCTATTAGGTGCCACCTTCTCACCTACCTCTCCCTGCTGCAGGCTGGGACTGGCCAGCCCCTGGTGATACCAAAGTGACAGCAGGGTGCTGGGAGGCGGCTGATGCCAGTAACACCAAGCTGACACCAGGGTGCTGGGACACCCCTAACACCAAATGGACACCAAGGTGCTGGGAGCCAGGGTGCTACACCCAGTGTGGGTGCTGCTTCACCCAGCTGCAGACGCATGCTGGCATCCACGGGGACGAGAGTACCCATTCGCTTGCACCCAGTGTGGGTGCCGCTACAGCCGCAGCTCCAACCTTCCGCGGCACCAGCACGTCCACGCCGCTGCCTGATGCCGCTTATTCTCTTACAGGCGCGCTCTGTGCTGCTGCAGAGCCCAGAGCAACTCATGACACGAGTGGGCCGCAGGGACGCCGTCGCCCCAGCGCACGCTGACGCCAGCCTCGAAGCTTTTATTGCGGCAAGACGGGCACTGCAAGATTCCTTTTAAATAATAATAATAATAACAACAACAACAATAAAAAATATACAGCAGTCGTTTTCTCCCTCGAATAAATCAATCCTGCGGGAAAAGCAGCCCCGCGGTGGGCACCCGCTGGATGAGGTGGGTGCTCAGCCTTCAGCCTCCGAGGGGGAATTGGGCCAGTGCAACGGTGTCAGGGTAGGGGGAAAGAGGGTCCCTTGAGCATCCCCGGGTGGCCGGTGTCCCCATGCTGGCTTGGGGACGGCAGCAGGGAGAGGTGGCTCCTCCAGGCAGTTAGGGGCCCTGGGGTGCCAGGGGGGTGCCACAGGGCTCAGGATTGGGGGGTGGAGGGGTCCCGCGCGGGGCTCG